AGCAGAGCCTGAACTTCACTGTGCAATCTCTGCTTGACAAGCTGTACACCGATTCTGAAGCCCGACAGGTTCGCGATGAAGCAGTCGAAGCACGACAAATCGCAGACTCGGCTATTGCAGAACGCGATGAGATGAAAGCGCAGCTGGAGTTGGGTGCAGATGGCTTAGTCTCTAAGCTGCAGAAACAACTTGCGGAACAAGAACGTATCATTGAGCTCCGTGGTAGGCAAGTAGAGACGATGAAGGCCGAACTAGCGGAAATGCAGAGGATACGAGCACAAGAACTGCAACGCAACGAACTGGAGACGCGAGAACTGTACTTGATGCTTAGGGATGCTCAAGACGTAGCAGCGTCGGCAGCGAAGAAGTCTGGTAAGGACGGGCTCGCTACCACCGATCCAGCTCAAATGCAGGGTATCATGGACCGCGAACGTCTGATGAACAGACTGGAGATCCAACTGCAACGAGCCAGGACACAAGCAACACTGGAGGGCAAGTCCCTGCAGATGCAGCCCAGCGAGAAGCTTCGGGAACTGCGAGAAAAGATGGAGGGCGACATGCCTGGCATGACCGAACAGGGCTATGGTGGCCTCGAAGCCAGCTCATTCGGATCAGTACGTGCCAAAAGTGGAGTGCCCCGCAGGAAGCCCCTCCCTGGCCTTCCTGGCCAGATTGGTGAGGATGCTGAGATGTCGGAGATGGACGATGATGATGCTGTCATTGAGAAGCCCCGTCTGATCCAGATGCACAAGCCAAAGCTCAGCACTTCGACAGCCAATGCCCTCATGGCGGATATCACGGCGAACGTCAAGCGATACGAAGACTCTGATGCTGAAGGGGATGGCGTTACTACAGGACCATCGCATCCCAGCCTCGAATCCGACTCACCAAAGACGCCTGGCGATAATGAGGCACCCAAAGCCAACATCCCTCCACCTCCACCCCCGCCTCCTGGTGCCCTTGGATTCTCGAACAACATTCCTCCTCCGCCTCCTATGCCCGGTACTGCTGGACCTCCACCACCTCCGCCGCCGCCGCCTCCGCCAGGCAAACTTGGCTTCAAGCCCGGAATCCCTGCACCACCTCCTATGCCAGGAGATGGCAGCATGCCACCTCCTCCACCACCGCCACCACCAATGCCAGGTGCCAAACGTCCTGGATTCATGCCCAAGGCGCCTGGATTTGGCGCTGCCCAACAATTTGCTCTTTCTGGACCGCGACCGAAGAAGAAGCTTAAGGCCCTGCATTGGGACAAGGTCGACCAACCTACTACCACTGTCTGGGCCACTCGCGGTCTCAGCTCGGAAGAGAAAGAAGAGAAGTACCAGGAGTTGGCAAGGAAGGGTGTTTTGGAGGAAGTCGAGAAGCTCTTCTTGGCAAAGGAGATCAAGGCGATTGGCAAGAAATCTGGCAAGAAGGACGACAAGAAGCAGATCATCTCTCGCGACCTCATGCACAACTTCCAGATCAGTATGGCCAAGTTCTCATCGTACGGAGTTGAAGATATCGTAAGGATGATCATCCACTGCGACAACAAGATTCTGGATGACCCTGTCACTATGGAGTTCTTGCAGAAGAACGACTTCTGCGATATTCCCGATAACACCGCCAAGCTCATGGCTCCTTACTCGAAGGACTGGACTGGACCCAATGCTAGCGAGAGCAAGCGCGAACAGGACCCGAACGAACTCACACGAGAGGATCAGATCTACCTTCTCACTGCCTACGAACTGCACCACTACTGGAAGAGCAGGATGAGGGCGCTTGCCCTGACTCGCACGTACGAAACTGAGTACGACGAGATTTCCAACAAGCTGCTAGAAATCTCAAGGGTATCCGAGAGCCTGCGTGATTCGTCAAGCTTGATCAGTGTTCTGGGTCTCATTCTCGACATTGGTAACTTCATGAACGATGCCAACAAACAAGCCAGTGGTTTCAAGCTCTCTACTCTGGGGCGATTGGGTATGCTCAAGGATGACAAGAACGAGTCTACATTCGCCGATGTCGTTGAAAGAATCGTCCGCAACCAATACTCTGGATGGGAAGGCTTCACCGACGAGATCAGTGGCGTTGTAACAGCCCAGAAGATCAACGTCGAGCAACTTCAGACCGATGCCAAGAAGTATATCGACAACATCAAGAACGTTCAGATGTCGCTAGACTCTGGTAACTTGTCTGATCCGACGAAGTTCCACCCAGAGGACAAGGTCGCCATTGTTGTGCAGAGGAACATGAAGGAGGCTAGGAGAAAGGCAGAGCAGATGCAGGTCTTCCTTGAGGACATGCAGAAGAGCTATGACGACATTATGGCGTTCTATGGTGAAGATCCGACCGACGACAGTGCGAGGAGGGATTTCTTTGCGAAGTTGGCCAACTTCGTCCAGGAATGGAAGGTAAGTCATCACCAACCCCCTGTTCTTGTGATCACGATGCTGGCTTTACACGGCTTGGTTATACATTGCTATGGATCAATTGCTAACTTGCTTGTAGAAATCCAAGGAGAAGAACACCACTCTCGAAGAGCAACATCGTCGCAACGAAATTTCCATGCGTCGCAAACAAGCGCAAACCGCAAACCCTCTCTCACCCAATGCCCTCTCCTCGGACTCCGATGCTCCCAAATCACCCGCATCCACCGGTGCCATGGACGACTTGCTCCAGAAGCTACGTGCTGCTAAGCCCGAAGCAAGAGATCAACGCGATCGCCGTCGTCGCGCCCGCTTAAAGGACAGGCACCAGGTACGCGTGGCTAGTGGCCAGAAGATCCCAGAGATCGGCGTCAACATGGAAGATGGCGGAGAGGGTGCCGAGGGTGAGGACGAGAAGAACAAACTGCTCAGTCCCACCAGCGAGACTGCGGATAGCGAGGCTAGTAGCACCGCTGGTCCTGCAGCAGCTGCCGCCGCCGGTACCGCAGAAGCAGACATCGCAGACCGCGCTGCTGCCATGCTGGAAGGTCTTCAGTCCGGAACTGGCCTAAACAAGGATGGGTCACTATCCGTCAGGCGGAGAAGAGAGAGCGCGGACACGGAAAGACAACGAAGGAGAAACCGACGCAATCAAGCTTCCGCCAAAAGCGAAGACGGAGGTATCTTGAGCCCGACTGCCATACCCGAAGAAGGCGAAAGTATCATCGACGGTGATGGCGCCGCCGACCAAGAAGACGACGAATCAAGAGACCCCACGACGCCAGTCACAGTCGTCCACCCACCGAGTCCGGAATCAAAGGGGAGAGATCTACCCACGCCACCGCCGGAGGAAGGCTGAGAGAGCTACGTTAATACCGCCACGTTGTCACGTATTGGGGGCGCTGCTTGCACTACCATCGTTGTTGTTTTAGCAAGGGAAGCCATACACTTGGAAGGAACGGAGGGGAAGGAAGCCAGTTGGGAAAATAATTTTCGCGATAGCCCCATTTTCGACTTCGATACCCGATCGCCTTGTTCTTTTTTTTTTACTACTTTATTTTGTCATTTTCCTCGCTTGAGCAAACTATAAGCTTTTTTTTTAACTTTTTACACAACATGGCTGTCTCTGCTTGTTTCCTTGTCTTGTATTGTAATACATCTGGAGGGACCTACTAATGCATCGCTTGCGTCCTTGTGATGTTCGCTGGCGTCGTTTTTTGTTTGCTACTGTTAGTGTAGGGAAGGTGACGGATGGGTATGTTTGGATGATGGGATGGATGGCTTGGCATCGATGGGTGGATGGGGAAGGTTAGATATCCTGGGGAAGGCACGATGGGGGGTTATAGGAATTATGTCGTCATCTTTGTTTCTTCGTCTCTGATTATGTGATTTCATCGTGGAAGTTGAGAGGTTGGTATGAGGAAGATGTGGTACAAAGGCCATTCACGTCGGTGATATCAAGTCGACGGGTGTGGGTAATATTGGTCATCTTGGTAAGCTATGCTCGTCTCTTGCCTTCTGTCGTTCCTTCCTCTTTGTCGTGCTACCGCTAATGTCGTTACAAGGTTCAATGTTTACAGCGCAGGGCAGCTTCGGCGATGATGCCTTCTGCTTTCAGTTCGCTCGCTATTCAGACTCTCATCTATCAGCGGTCGGCGTCTCGGTTGTTGATCTACCTGTTTGGTAATTTTCATCCATTTGCTTTCTGTTAGTCTCTTCTCCCGATGCTCACCTCGCGCACGTCTTGTCACTCTGCCGTTCCTCTATCATTACGTCATCGAGCCATTACATTTAATTTCAAGTGAATGAGGTTCGTACACTAAGGCTCTGATCTCGCTCGATCGCTTGTCGCAACAGGTCTAAACGTATTGCATCATTGCCTTCTTTAACGCACTGCTCAAGGCAGAGACGCCAACGAAAGAAAGAAAGATGGATTCCGTCGTCCGTTTCGTTCATGTGAGCCTCCAAAGTAGCTCTCACTTAGATCTCGAGATCTCCGTATCGTTGTGGATGTTTCGTATCCAGGACCGCACTTCACAGACCGTCTCGGGTTGAAGCTTGCTCTCCAGGCATGGGCTTTCGTGAGAAAGAGGCTCCCCCTGGCACCATCGCTACTATCGAGTAGGTTTTGCTGGTGGGTCGCAACACAAGCTTCTGGGTCATCAGGCCTAGGCCCTTGAGCCTAGACGTTCTGCCCTCGCAGAGTCATATGTGGCACACCTGACGCCGTGTGAGTGTAGGTGGGAACGATTGAAAGAGCTGCTTTGTAAAAGATGGAAGAAGTTGTTAGCATGTCGATGCGCCGCCGCTTTCGTAGGCAGTGCGAAGGCGAAGTAGAAGGTAGCACTGCCATGGGGAGCAGGTTGGCTGAGGTCGAAGCTGGAGGCAGAGAGGACAGGATTCTTATACAGGGAGCCCGAGTAGTGCAAACGCAGGCAGACGCGCTAGCCTGGTTCGGACTGGTTAACATTGCTCACCATTGCCCGCACGAACTGGACAGCCTCTTGCTCACCGTCTCTCGTTCGTAGATACGACAATAGTGATTTTAAAATTGCTCGATCCACCAAGCTGTCACCAGATATTGCCACCGCCATGGCTTCTGACCGACCTCGAGCAGCCAAACGAGAAGCGCCTTCGTCCCAGCGCTCCAGACGTCATCACAAAAAGCCCAAGACGCTGCACAATGCAGCCGAGTTTCGCGACAAAAGGGCGTCCAAGAAGAAGGGTAAGACCGACAAGAAAGAAAGAGTGCAGGAGGACCCCAAGGCTCGCTCCAAGCATCAAGGTAGCTGCGAAAGAAGGAAGCGTGAAGTGTCTATTCGTACTGTTGTCATCACTGAACAGCCCGTTCTAATGTTTGAGCCCCGCGTCAAGAACCAAGGCTTATCTCAGGGCACCGTGTTCGATTTCCTGTTGAAGGAGGAGATGGCTTGAGCCGCTTTCGCCGGCATTGACGTTGAACATAGGCGAAGGAACGCATGTGTAGATGATGAATATATGGTCTTACTGTATCTTTATATGATTGTAGTCAGACGCGTTACTGACTACTGGAAAGAGGCAGAAGAACACTGTGGATGCTGTCAGAGAACCGAGACGCTTGTATCAACGTCGTTATTCTAATTCGCGCACTTTGTATCGGTGGTGCGTTCTGCAGAAGGTTCTGTTCAGTTTCTTCCGAGCATGAGAACGTGATGGGTCAACGTCATGGGTCTTCGTGAAGTATTTGAATTACTAATGACATCATACTACTGTGTCATACTATCCGCCGCCTATCCTTTTGCTATAGACTATGGTATATATAAGAAAACATGACTAGCATGTACCATCAAAGAGAGTCGTGAAGTGCCCATAAGGAGATAATGAAAAGGTATCGTAACGCCCGAAAATGCTCACACCGTACAAATTACCCACACGGTCTACCACTTGAGGCGATCGAAGAGGTTGCGGCTCCTGACATCCCTCTTCTTGCTACCACCGGGCAGCGCACTTGTGCAGTCGATCAAGTCTCCCTTGTTCTCAACACCGAGCATGCTCATCTTGACCATTGCGCTTACAAATGCCGAGTCCCACATACCCTTGCTGGCGGCAAAGGCGATGAACGGGCCGGCAGTAAGGGGGTTCTGTGCAAGGCTCTTGTCGGAGGGGAGTGTGAAAGGAGCCCTACCACGCATGGTCTCGGAGTAATATTTGTTGTCCCAGGTGCCGACAGTGGAGTCGAGGGCAGAGCCAGCTTTGGAAGGGTCTGTGAAGCGTTGTTTGGCGGCGGTGTGGGCGCCGATGAGAGCGGCGAGGTCGTAGGGGGAGAAGCCTTTTTGCGCTGAGAAAGTTGTTAGCTATGAACATGTTGAAGACTAGAGATGAATGCTTACCGAAGAGGCCGACCAAGTCCTTTGCATTGGCGTGACCGCTAGGTAGCACACCGAGAGCATTTGCCTCGCTGGAGTCCTTGCGGCCAACCTTGACGGGAATAGTAGGTCCACCAGGACATGTCTTGACTGCATGTGCGGCGGCAAATTGGATCAGATCGGCAACACCGACCTTGGTCTGGGATGCGACATTGGCAAGGTTACCGCAAAGGCGCTCCATACCGCGGTTCTCTTTGTTCGAGCACTCATTGGCGAGGATGAGAGAGCCGTCGCATGCACCGTTGAAGCAGTCATGGAATGAAGATCGGATAGCAGCGCGCGCAGCATCTGTGCATTGGCCGTCCCCGAGGAATTGTTGGGTGAGGGTGGAAGAGATTTGAGTCCAGACAGCAGGGCATTCTTGCGCAGGTTCCTTGCCGCCGCCACCGAAGATGCCGTCGAATATGCCGAAGATCTTTGCAAGAGTACGCTTCTCTTGTACTGGCGCTGGTGCTGGGACGGTCCAGTCTTCTTCCCGAATGGTGTAGTTGGAGTAGGCCTGGGCTGTGCTGGCAGCCGCAAGGCCAGAGATAAGGACGTTGCGAATATACATTATGTGTGAGGGGAAGATAGTGGTCCTATCGAGTGAGTGTCTAGTAGGATGAAGAATAAGATAGGATAGGTGAGAAGTGCCGAGAAACGAAGAGCGAATGACTGTGATGACCTGAGATGATAATGGTAAGAAGAGAGCGATGAACATTTCTTCTTATACACTGTAACATGTTTCCGAGAAGTGGCAAGAATAGCAGCCGCGACTCATGCTTACATCTAGCACTGTATGAGTAGCTGTCTCCTCTGACCCCGATTCCCATGGGTAAGCGTTGAAGAGAGGTGCTGGAATAGATGTGACAGGCCGCTAGAGCAATGGTGAGGAAGACCCACGCTACTGTTTTGGGAGTACGGATATACGCCACTATGTGACCGGTGGAAAGCTCCTGCTTGAAGCGTGACATGTTTTAGCGAACATGCCAGTTATGCTCAAGCTTGCGATGTGGTTCCCGGTCATTCATCTCACGAGATGTGGTGCATCTGCTCATGGTCGTTGATCATCGTGCCATAATTCGCCAACTCTGCGTGGCGGTCATGTAGTGGATCTCACTCGCAGCAGCTTCAGAGTCAGGAGATGCATGCAATGCTGCCAGTACTGCATTGTTCTGAACGACGTCGATACTGCTCTGCAGAGCCGAACTCTCCGTTGAACGCTTTCTGGTGTCGCATTAGCAAACGGACCGTTAGTTTGGAAGGTGATACCCCTTTCTGTCGAAACGTAGGAATTCTAAAGAAAGATGTGGGGGTGTTGTTTATTGTTTCAAGACAGCTTCAGACTAGTGAACGTGGAGGAACTGCAGTGCCGATAAACGATGATCAACACGGCCCCGCGGTTTGGGCCATGGACGCCCTGCGTTTGAGGCGCAGGACAGGGCTTGAGCCTGACCATATGAAGTTTAGGATCAAGAAGTGGTTGAGAATGGGCTAACGTTAGCGACTTTAGGTTCCTGGCATCGGTGCGGCTAGCACGTGTCGCGCATCTTCGCTTCGCCTTCGGCAGGTGAGCTTGTAGCTAGACACTGCCGGGTGGCAATAAGTCTTTGTAAAAAGAGGTTGATAGAGCTCTTTCGACATTGCCAATTAATTGAGTAAGGTGGAGACTGAGATCCGTTCGTGTTTGCAATCCTACGCTTCGGAGAGGGAAAGCCGCATCGTAGCCCTCGCGCAAGGTCTTTGCCGTGCCCTGTCAACTGTTAGAGATACAACCTGGACTCCACAGCCAATTATCTCAGGCTCAATAGTCGGCTTCCTGTTTGACGATGCGATAGCGCTGATGGTGTTGCGGACATGCATGTCGGAGACCCGAAAGTGGAAATCCCTATAAGGATAGTCCAGGAAGGCGATCCTCTAGCGAAACCTTCTCTCGCCGAATTGCACCCTTGCAATTACTCATGACCCACCAACTTCGCGAACGCTGCCGCGCTTGCGACTCAAGCCCTCTGCGGTGGGAGATGGGATACCTGAATCTGAATAACAGCGTGAAGCCGTCGAACGAGGTGGCGCGACCCGCATACCGCTTATCCGTGATGTGCGCTCGTTTGCGCTATTGAAGCAGTGGAATTGTCACCAGCATCACCCACCGCCTCGAGGTCGCGACATGCGATGTGGAGTCCGAATCACACGCGAAAATCCGCCCATGTCGTACACAAGGCGAGACCTACATCCACGCCTATCCCTCCATCTTCGAGACGAACGCCACAACCTCTGTATGGCTCCGCAGTCACCCTCCGGGCTCTTCCGCCTCGCACCGCTGGCACCTTCCCGGTCAGCTATCGGAATACATGAACAAGTGTCGGCATGGAGTTGGATGATATCGTTGGACAGCATGATTGGGGTGTGTCGAGATGCGGCTGCTGGATGGGTGAGATGGCACAGCCTTGGTGGCACAAGAAACGGCGATGAGGAGAAGGGGCGGGGTCATTGCGACGGCATTAGTGCTGACAATACAGTTCGGTGTCGCGCAATTCCGCGTTTGATGGTAAGGCGCGGCCCACCCTCGGCAACACCACAACACAAATTGGACGACCGGTAAGTGCTATGGGAGAAGCGATCAAGCAGAACGTATTTCTGCTGCAAGAACCGCGAAAGCCGCCGCAGCAACGTGAGCACATCACAGCGCTAGTGCTGACGATCTGGCGACTCATAATGCATTTGCTCAGAGATAACAAGAGATGACTAAGTCACCGATGAGCGAGCTCAAGAGGGGAATAGAGCTCGCTTGTACGACACCGCATATATCGGAGAAAGCTCTAGGATGCGACATATCACAAGTACCTCGCGACACAATACCACAAGCCCACCGCGACAATCACAGCAGACGCGCCTAGCGCAGTAAAACTACCTCCCCGGAGCGAGACTCTAGAACCCGAAGACGTGAAGGCGTCCCAATCCGCGTACGCCGGGAACATACACTTCAATGTAAAATCTGTTTGCGAGCGACTACAGATCATGTTAGTACCGTGCATCTGTTGGCAAAATTTGGCCCGGAGATGGAAACCTTACGGATACATGGTCGAATTGTAACCCTCCTCATCCATATACCAACTCCGACAACCCACAAAAACGGTCTTTTCCAGATCTTTCTTCACACTCTCAGTCCACGCCGTGACGGCCTGTTTCTTCACCTCGACGTGGTCTACCTTGCCGCTCAGGATAGGTTTGATCATCTTGAGAATATACGAGACCGTATTTTCGCTCGTGAGAATGAGTGAGTGATGGCCATTCGCCGTATTCGGTCCGACCGCGATGAAGAAATTCGGGAACCCATCAACGGCCATTCCCATGTATGCGGCCGGACCTCCACGCTGCTTCCAAACTTCTTGCAAGGCTGCTCCTTCGCGACCGTAGACTGAGAGCGGGTGCAACCAGCGAGTTGCTTCAAACCCGTTGGCGAGGATGATGACATCGGCGTTGATGCGCTGTTGGCCGGATGTAGCCTTCCCATCGGCACCCAGAATGAGCTCTTTGCCATCCACAGCTTGGATAGGACGATTGGTAAGCATGAACTTGGAATTCTGCATGCTGGGTAACCACTCGGTATCGAAGACGCGTCTTTTACATCCATAGGGATAGTCCGGCGTCATGATATCATGGTACTTTTCCGGCACGATCTCCTTCATCATAGCCAACTGTTGTGTTTCGATCGCAGCCCGCCACTTCTTGTGTTTCATTTGGAACACGGTCGACCAAATGACCTCCACCAACAGATATATCAGGACGCGGTTTATAAAGCCGAGGAACGGAAGCCACTTGTAGACCGTGGGTGCGTATATAGCGTAATTTTCTCTTCCGAAAGGCTCAGAAAGTCGTGGCATTACCCAGGGTGCTGATCGACCAATCTGTGTGAGTGACTTGACTTTATAGGGTTCCTTGAGTAGCGATGGAACTATCTGCGCGGCGCTGCAGCCGGTTCCGAGTACTACTACGTCTTTTCCGTTGAGATCAATGTCGTCGCGCCAGCGTGCAGAGTGAAAGACGTCG